AATGCAGGATTGAGGAAAACTGGATGTTTATTGAGTGCAAGAAAATGAAAAAAGCATGAGAAAAAAGGTTCAAAGTTGCAGAGAAGTTTGTTAATGGTAGAGCAGGAATTTCAGACAGCATAATGCATAGAGCAGGCAGACTTGGATGGGGACCTGGAAACAGTAGACTTGAGTTGGATAGGTGTTGGGGAATGGTAAGTCTGAGGTTGATTGCTGTGGAACAGTAGGAAAGGGTGCTATTTTTCACTTATGGCTGGTGGGTTTTTGCCTATCTGGGACTGGAAGAGTAAGAGTGGAATTTGCTAGTTTTAGGGACATACTACCTTTTGCCCCTAGGGCTTAACGCTCCATGTTCAGTCAGTTTTTTAGTTGTGTCTAACTCTTCCTTACCTCGTTTGGAATTTTCTGGGCAAAGATTTGCCATTTCCTTCTCCAGCTCATTTTACAGATGAGGAAACTTGAGGCAAACTGGGTTAAGTGACTTGTCCAAGGTCACATTTTCTTTCTCTCATGAATACTGAGGGTATATCAGTCTCTTTCAAGTGTTAATGAAGAGTCTGAGCTTATCTTTAGTGAAAATGAGGTCCTGGCGGTTTTGCGTCTTGGCGGGCCTGATGAGGTGAAGGGCAGTTGTTGGAGGCTCTGGTCGTGGAGAGGAGCATGGTGTCTGTGGCCTAGATGGTGGGTTGGGTGGTCTTGGGTTGGGTCCAGTCAGGGAGCCAGGACTTTGTCCTAGTTAAGAGTGGTATTAAAGTAACAATAATAGCAACAACAAAAAGGAGCAATAAAATATATTTTAAAAAATACGTCTTCCAACTACTAATTCCAACAACTAATTGATGACTTTTTAATGCCATGAAATTGTGCTTTGATTTTGTAACCATTTAATTATTTTCATTTGGTGAGGGTGGGTAAATGGGGGACAAGCATTTATTAAAGATGTATTTTGTGCTAAGCATTGTATAAATTGCTTTACAGATATTATTTCACTTGATCCTTACCCCAGAGGTAGTTTATCATAATTTCCTTTTACAATTGAGGAAACTGAGGCAGACAGAGGTTAAGTGACTTGCCCAGGGTCACACAATTAGTAAACCTGTTAGGCTGGATTTGAACTCAAGTCATTCTGACTCCAGGCCCAGTGATCTATTCACTGAGACATCTACCTGTTTCAGAATAAGATGTGGAACACAAAATTACTGACTTTGTATAGAGAATGTTGAATTTTAAATATTATTATCTGAAAATTTATATATAATTTTTAGTGCACAGTGTTCTCAAGGTAGAAACAGTGTGATAAATATTGCTAATGGAAAGATTTTCACTTTAACTGTGTGCAGGCCTTCTGTAGCTTTAAAATTAGCATTCTTGTGTGATAGATGTGGCTTGAAACAATTGTTAATAATGTAACATTTTCCTTTTTTAAATTATATAACTGAATGTTTTTTGATGCAGGAAATAAACATATAACTTTCGATATGGAATTTAAATAAGTTGCTTTATACATGGAAAAAACTAAAATCTTTAGGAGAAAGAACTACATATGTCCAACTCTGGTTCTGTAGACAGTAGATCAGTGAAATAGATTAAATCATAATGAGCTAGAACCAGATACATAATCTAATGTTTGACAAACTCTGGATTCTGCAGCTCTAGGGAAAATATTCTTTATTCAATAAAATCTGCCATGAAAACTCTATAACACTTTGGGAGAGACTGGGACCAGATCAGTGATACACTGTTCACTATAATAAAATTTAAATGGATCAGTGATCTAAATACTGAAAACAAACCCCAGACATCTTCATATATGAGACCATAGCTCTTTTGAAGTTCTGATATGTGGTTTCTTTTCCATGTTGTAACACTTGTACTTTTCAATGGAAAATATAATTTATTTTAAAGAAATGAGAAAAAAATTCATTATAGAGTGTCACTTAAAATTTTGCTTTGTTGTTGTTGTTGAATCATTTCAGTCATGTATGACTTTTGGTGACCCCATTTGGAGTTTTCTTGGCAGAGATACTGGAGTGGTTCGCCATTTCCTTCTCCAGTTCATTTTACAGATGAGGAAACTGAGGCCAACAAGGTTAAGTAACTTGCCCAGGTTCACACAGCTAGTAAGTGTCAGAGGTTAGATTTGAACTCAGGAAGGTGAGACTTCAGGTCCAGTGCCACATAGTTGTCCCAAAATTCCTTGCCTCTCAAAACAGCAACTTTGTATAGACCATTCCTCTTGAGAGCATACATAATTTAATTGGTATGATGCCATAGGCTATTAATTAGAAAGCTTCATTCTACTTTTGGTCACTATGAATCTATATCTGTCAATAATGATCAACTATTATCTTCATGAGAGCAGAGGGCATTTTTATGTAAACTTTTAAAAACTTCCTCCAGTTCTTAGCATAATATTCTGAACATAGTAGGTGCTTAATAATTGTTGGATTGCATTGGAATATTTAAAACCATTTGGTCTTTACTTAATATCTTTTTTGTAAATAACCACTAGCTTCCATATATTTTTTTCATATTTTTTTATGTAATGGAAAATTAAGCTTCCTGCCAGTGTACCTTCACCATAGAATCATAGCTTTAAAGCCAGAAAGGACCTTAGAAGCCATTTAACTCAACCCTGTCATTTTATATTTGAGTACATTGGGGCCCAGAGAGATTTAGTGACTTGCCCAAGTCATACAGATAGTAAAATGGTAGAAGTAGGATTGTAGGCCAGGTCTTCTGACTTCGGGTTCCTTGCTCTTTCCATAGTACCATGGGGCTCCAGCTGGTTAGATATGATTACAAAGGGTGTTGTTCACACTTGACACTTCATCTTAATACTGGCCGTCTTCCATGCCTGGAATGTACTCCTTGTTATCTTTCTCTTGGAACCATAGGACCATGGGGTCGTAGTTCTGTGGTTTGGATGGACCTCAAAGGCTGTCTAATCCAATGGCCTCATTTTATAATTGAGGAAACCGAGGCAGAGGGAAATTAAGTGACCTGCTGAGGTTCACCCAAGTAGTAAACCCCGGAGGTGGGATTTGAAACCCAGGTCTTCAGACTCTGAAGCCACATCTTCTACATGAAGCAATTCTGGATTCTCCTGGTTCCTAGTACCCTCCCTCCCAATGTTTCCTTGTTTTGTTTTGTATATATTCTGTACTTATTTATGTACATGTTATCTACCCTAATGGAATATGAGATGCTTGAGGACCGGGACTATTTAATATTTGTCTTTGTATCCTTAGCCCTTAGATGTCACAGCACCTGCCACATAGTGGGTGCTCAAGAAATGCCTATTACTTTTTTGATTGCTATATACAGAACTGATATTTGAAAAGCATCAGTATACTATGTGAACCAAAGTTCATTGTTATTGGTGGAGAGATTGTCATGGAGACAGGTGCCGGTCATATGTACGGAAAGGTCCCTTCTCCAAAGTGTAAATGGGGCACTGGAGAAAAGCATTGTGGTTGGGTTAAGGGAAGGAAATCTCTGTCATTAGACCATCTGTTCTTTGGACTATCTGAACACCTCGCGTCTTGGAGACTGCTATTAATCTACCGCCTTCTACTAATGCTGTGCTTGTATGGATAAAGGATGAACGTCGAATATTACTCTAGGGAAGGCCATTCCTGTGCATTGATATAAAATCTTGAATCAGTAGTGTTACTTTCAGTAAAAGTGATGAACCTGTGCAGCCGCATAGTTCCTTGAGCGTGAAACATCAGCACGTGCCCTAACAGAACGATGTGGAGGTTAGCTGGTTCTGAAGTCCAGACCTGAGGCTCCTGAGTGCTGCTAGCTCTAGTTTGCTTGGTGCTGGCCCCTTCCCATCCTCCCAGTCTTCTTATCCCTCCCCACCCACACCCCCTCAATGACCCAGTGACGCTAGCCTCCTTGCTGTTTCTCAGAGAAGATCTCCATCTCCTGATTCCAGGCATTTTCACTGGATGTCCCCCATTCTTGGGTTCTCTTTCTCTTCATCTTCACCTCCTGGTCTCTCTGGATCCCCTCAGGCCCCACCAGAATCCCATCTTTTCTTCTTAATGCTAAGGGCCTTCCTCCTGTTGATTATTTCCAGTATATCTTGAATATATCTTGTGTGTGTATGTTTCCCCCATTTGAACTGTGAGCTCCTTCAGAGCAGGGACTGTCTATTTGTTGTCTTTTTTTGGTATCTTAGCACAGTGCCTGGCACATATACATATATGTATATGTATACACATATACATACATACGTGTTTGTGTATACCTATCTGTCTCTATTGCTGTATAAATGTTTGTTGACTGACTACTGCACCTGCTGATAACTAGCTTCTATTTACACTGCATATGTCTTGTATGTACATAATGGTTTGCATGACATCTCTCTCATTAGCATGTGAGCTCTTTGAAGGTAGGGACCATGGTGGTGGTGGTTGTTGTTGTTGTTGTTGTTTCCCCCCTTCTTTGCCTCTTTGGTGCTTAGCACAATGCCTGGCACATGGTGAACACGTAATGTTCAGTTGTTTTTTGGGTTGTGTCTGACTCTTCATGATCCCATTTGGGATTTTCTTGGCAAAGATACTAGAGTGATTTGCCATTTCCTTCTCAGGCTCATTTTACAGATGAAGAAACTGAGATAAACAGGGTGAAGTGACTTACCCAGGGTCACACAGCTAGTAAGTATCTGAGGCCAGATTTGACTTCAGGAAGGAGTTTAGGCTCAACGCTCTATCCACTGAGCCACCTAGCTGCCCATAAACACATAATAATTTCTTGCTAACTGATAGACTTTACAAGGAAAGCCTGGAAGACTGAGCTTTTCTACGCAGTGGTAACTGCCTTCTAACTGGAATGGGAATGAGTGACCCTATCATTGCTGTAACCCCTGGAAGTGTCCCTCATATATCTGGATACTTTATACAAAGAAACTTTATTAGAAGCATTTCAAAATAAAATATATAGACACTGATGCTAGTTTAAAAATATTTTCAATTCAACTTTCTCCACAGAGTGAGGATGGTGCAGCTGACAGTCTCAAAGGAGTGCCAGCAGTTCCCAGTCTATCTTTGGAGGTATTGATCACACAGCTGGATATGACACTTGAGAAAATTCGAGCTGCTAATTGTAATGTAAGTCTTTCCTTTTTGGAACTATGAAGCAATTAACTTGTACTACACTTTTCATCAGGCCAATTCCCTTATCTGCCTACTCTGGGGTTAGAGGCAATCCTTGACTTCAAAGAGCAGAGCACGTAGACAATGTCTCTCTCCACCATATGGTGCCTGCCTGATTATGTGACTGATGTCTACAGTGGGCCCTCTCTGTTCGCTTTTTCTACCGAGAAGTTCTTCCTCTGAAGTAATGAGAAATCCAAACTACTGTTAGGAATTTTCTCATTTGTGAGGAGATGAAGCTACACCTTCTTTCCTGGCTTTTTTTTTAAACTGATTTTTCCCTCTGATATGGTTATAGAATAGAAGTTATATTACCTCTATGTTTTCATCCAACATATATTTTATTAAATACCTGCTGTATACAGAGTAGTGTTCTAGGTACTGGAGGAGATGCAAAGTTTAGATAAGACTCCATTCCTACCCTTTTGAAACTTATAGTCTAGTAAGGGAATAAGACAAGCATGCTTGAATATGTGAAGTATGTTCTGTGATTACATCAGCCTGGGAATGGCATGTGTGGTAATTTTTTTCCACCCATGCGAGTAGCAACTCATCAGTGATTCAGTAGATAAGTCCTAGGGAGTTGCCAGACACACATACAGTTAAGTCACTTTTCCAGGTTCATATAATTTGGACCCAGGTCTTCTGTGTTCAAGCCCATCTCTCTATCTACTATGCCGCACAAACTATAAAAAAGAAACATAGATAACTGTGATTACATACAGGCACAATGGAAATAACTCTGGCTGTGAAATCAGAAGACCTGAGTTCGGATTCTGCCTTTCTTGCTAATGACACTTGTGAATCACTGTGCCTACTGGGCTTCAGTTTCATCATCCGTAAAAGGAGGGCACTGGATTAGATGGCCTCAGAGGTCTTTTCTTTTTTTTTTTTTTCGTGAGGCAATTGGGGTTAAGTGACTTGCCCAGAGTCACACAGCTAATGAATGTATGTGTCTGAGGCCAGATTTGAACTCAGGTACTCCTGACTTTAGGACTGGTGTTCTGTCCACTGTGCCACCTAGCTGTCCCCCTCTGAGGTCTTTTCTAAACTCAGCTCTATATCTATGATCCTATGAGTTATAGTTGGAATTTATGTATATCATCATACCATGGGAATGTAAGAGAGGGGAGAATGTAAGAAAAAAATACTACTTATTGCCTAAGGAAAGAGGCTGTTCACAAAACAGAGCCTCAGAGAAAGCTCCATGTAGGAGGTGGCTGGACTTTAAAGGATAGGTAGGAATACATCAGGTGAATTGGGGGAAGGGAGAACTTTTCAGGCAGAAAATCCCATGAGCAAAGGCATTAAAGGTGGAAAAGAACAGGCCCTGTTTAGGTGACTCCAAATGTTTTCATCTTCATGGTTTCCACAGTCCACTCAGCAGAGATACATTGGAAGGTGTAGCTGGTATTATTGCAAAATATCAAAAAGTTATTATTTTTTAAATTGGAAGGAACCGTAGAATTCATTAATCCAATACCTGCTAGGAGGATGGAATGATTTTGAAATAGGAATATCCCCTGTACATTGAAATTCTTTTTTTTTTTTAAAGTGAGGTAATCAGGATTAAGTGACTTGCCCAAGGTCACACAGCTAGTACATGTCAAGTGTTTGGTCTGAGGCCACATTTGAACTCCGGTCCTCTTGACTTCAGGGCTGGTGCTCTATCCACTGTGCCACCTTGCTGCCCTGTGTACATTGAAATTCTTAAACTCTCTAATTGCAGAATAAACATGGCTCCATTTCTTGTCCTAAATGAAAGAAAAAGTCTTTCTACAGAACAGGCTGAGCTGAGGACCTTTTTGCATTAAGGAATTTCTTGGTACAAAGCTACATAGCTCTATGCAAAGCTGAGACTTTTAAGAAGGAGAATAGTTTAAATGATAAACTGAAACTGTTTATGTGTTTGGAATTATAATGAATAAACCTCATTGGTATTGCTTTTTTATTTTTCTTCTAATTCTAGGGAATGTTTTGTTTCAAGACTTTTGACTCTTCTACTTTGCATAAAAATCTTTCTCTCCACCCCCCAGGTCATGTTGTCCAATGCATCTCAAGTGGTATTTTATTAATTCTCTGCAATAATTAGTAGTTGACAAATCATTTTTACTGCATAAATCGTTAGTTGACAGGTCTTAGCTATTTCTTAGTCTAGAAAGCTTGATCAGATCTCATAAATCTCAGGAAATGATCTTTTAAAACTCTTTTATTTTTAGGGGCATCAGTTAAATATGGATTATTATCTGACATTACTGTTTATATATGGATTAGCACTCATTGAAAAGGGGACAAAGCAGGTAAGTATCATATGACTTGTAGAAACATTTTTTTCCTTTTATTCACTTAAATTTAGCTGCTTTGGAAAATGGAACTGCTGAGTTTTAAAATTTTTTTTATAAAACTGGAACTATTCGATGACTCTTCTATCATATGCTTCTAAATCTGAACACCAAAAATCAGTAACTGTGATTATGAAAGTGAAAACAAATAATGGGAAGCAATTTACGTTGGCTAATTATCTCACTTATTCTAAGCTTGGCTTGTGTTTATATTCAAATGTGACATTTTAAACTCTTAAATATCTAATTTTAAGTGAAACTGAAAGTCATTTATACTTCTAGATCGCATTTTCAGATTATATATCGATGTTTTTATATTGGAGTTTGAAAATTTTGCTGAGACTCAGTTTCTTCATCTTTTGGATAAGGGGATCAGACTCCCTGACCATTGCAATATCTCGCTTTAGGATTCTGTAATTCTCTTTCTGATTCTCCATCATCTTTTCCTATATTTTCTCAATTATTTTGCTGACATATTCCTGAAATATAAGTAGCTTTATTCTTTCTATTTTCTTGCTGCCATAATAAAGATCTATAAATTCAGTTTGGATTAAAAAAAACCTATTTGTATCTATCTTGTACTGTGTTAATATAAATCTGACTTATTAATGAACCATGATAGAATTTTATGTGCCTAAATTGACACTTCTTTCCATATAAAAATAATAATATACAAAAGATCTGTGATTTTTTGTTTTGTTGTTATGGTTTTTTTGGCTAGGCAATGGGGTTAAGTGACTTGCCCAGGTTTATCCAGCTAGTAAGTGTTATGTGTCTGAGGCCGGATTTGAACTCAGGTCCTCCTGAATTCAGGGATGGTGCTCTATCTGCTGCGCCACCTGACTGCCCCTATCCTGTGATTTCTTAAATATGGTTTGGGAACTCCTTCTACCAATGCAGGTCTATAACCTGCCTATGACTTAGTAGATTAACTCAAGGGAGTTGTCTCAAGCACATTAAGTGCCTTGCCCAAGGTAATTCAGATTTGAATCTGGTTCTTCCTGACTCTAAACTCAATACTTTATACACTCTACCATATTACCTCTATATAATACTAATTTATATTTGAAATGGAGTGTATGGGAATTTAAATAACATGTATTCTTTTTTTTTGAGGCAGTTGGGGTTAAGTGACTTGCCCAGGGTCATACAATTAGGAAGTGTCAGTTCAGATTTGAACTCAGGTCCTCCTGACTCCAGGGCTAGTGTTCTATCCACTGCACCACTTAGCTGCCCCCTAAAGAATATATATATATTCTTAAACTAAAGATTGTGTTGCATTATTTTTATTTACTTTTCCTTAATGTCAAGGCCAAATTCTGAAATTATGGAGAAAAGGAGGTGTAGTAGAAAGGGTACTAGATTTAAAAGTCAGAGGACCCAGGTTCAAATTGAGAAAGTCTTTCTCTTTTTTAAATTTAGTATTTAATTTTCCCCCAATTACATGTAAAAACAATTTTCAACATTCGTTTTAAAAATTGACTACCAAATTCTCTCCCTCTCTCCCCATCCCTCTCATTGAGAAAGCAGGCAATTTGATATAGGCTATATATGTGTAGTCATGCAAAACATATTTCCATGTTAGTCATGTTGTAAAAGAAAACATAGACCAAAATAAAAACCCAAGAAAAAGAAAGTAAAAAAAGTATTCGTTGATTTGTAATCAGATTCCATTAGTTCTTTCTCTGGGAAAGGATAGAATTTTTCATCATAAGTCCTTCAGAGTTGTCTTGGATCAGTGTGTTGCTGAGAATAGCTAAGTCATTAACAGATGATCATATTGCAATATCACTGTTATTGTGTACAATGTTCTCGTGGTTCTACTCATTTCATTTTGTATCAGTTCATGTAAGTCTTTCTAGGTTTTTCTGAAAGCATCTAGCTCATGATTTCTTATATCACACTGGTATTACATCACAATCATATACCACAAATTGTTCAACCATTCCCCAATTGATGGGCATCCCTTCAGTTTCCAGTTATTTGCCACCAGAAGAGAGCTGTCTAAATATTTGGACATAGTTCCAAATTGCTCTATGGTAATGGTTGAATCAATGCAGAACTCCACCAACATTGTATTAGTGTCTCAATTTTCCCACATCCCCTTTAGCATGTCATTCTTCCTTTCTTTCCTGTTAGCCAATCTAATAGGTGTGAGGTAGTACCTCAGTATCATTTTAATTTACATTTCTCCAATCAATAGTGATTTAGAGCATTTTTTGATATGGCTATTGATAGCTTTGACTGCTTCATCTAAAAAATGACTTCATATTTTTTGATCATTTATCAATTGGGAAACATCTTGTTTTTGTAAATTTAACTCATTTCTCTATGTATTTGGGAGATGAGGCTTTTATAAGAAAACCTGCTTCAAAAATTTTTTTCGGTTAGGATTCTAACTGTATTTCCCTCCATCCTATTCCCCTGCCCCGTTTATTCTATTCCCTCTCTCCTTTTACCTTGTCCCTCCTCAAAAGTGTTTTGCTTCTGACTGCTGCCTCCCCAATCCACCCTCCTTTCTATGAGCACCCCCCTTCTCTTATCCCCTTCCCTTCCTACTTTCCTGTAGGGTAACATAGATGAGAAAGTCTCTTAACCTCTCTAGGCTTCAGTTTCCTTATCTATCAAGTGAGGGGTTTAGTCTAAATGACCACTATGGTCTACTATGAGCCTATGTTTCTCCTAACTCTGCTTATCTTTTATTGTAACTTCAGATTTTGTTAGAATTGCTGCTTGTTAAGTTGGTGAGCATCACTATCATTTTATAAATAGCAGTATTGTCTCACCTCCCACCCCACAATATCTGTCTAACCCTGCTGAATAAAGTGACTTGCTCCATAGGTGAATGTTACACAATATTTTGATTGAGGAATGACAGACCTTCATGGTTAGTAAAAATGTGCCAGTTTTGAATAGCAGTGGCTGTCACCACTCCAAATTTTTGTTGCTGTGGTTGTTTACTTTGCAATATCTTATTATACTTTGCAACGTTGGTTAGGAAGGGGTGGGGATTCCATTGGAAGTGACAGATTGCTTGTAAATTGTAACTGTGAAAGCTTCAGACTCTTGAATTAGAGGACCCAATGCATGTGTGAATAAAATTCTTCTAGATTGCCATATTTTCTCTAGCCTTTCATATAAACCAGACTTGGCTTTTTATTCCTCCAGGATTATTCTGAAGCTAGAAGTAAATTCATGACAATGAAAATGGAAATTCAGAAGAAAGAAGATTGTAGAAATTTTTTATCTTTAGTTTATTTTGGATGTGGTTTACTACTAGGTTCTCAAAAAAGGTAAGAATTTTAATTAATAAGTACTTTTTGTTGGAATACCATCAATATAATGGAAATAGTACAGGCACAGGATGCCAGGGTTTTAACATGCCAGCGATGCTTTATTAGTCTGTTGTTGTCTTTTATTTTTTTATCTTTGTTTTTTTAATTTTAGACTTGAATACTAAAACTTAAGTACATAATAAGAAAAGAAAAAGAAACATTATAAACTTAAATACTAAGACTTAAATATAAAATAAGAAAAAAGCATATCACGTACACAGTAGAACGTGAGAGGATTCAAAATGTATAGCATTAAATTTCCATTTCAAGAAAGCTTATATATTAAGTACTCTGTTGAAAGCTCTCCATCTTTTCTTTGCTTCCTTGTAGGTTTTCTTTTATTCTCTGCTGTACACTTTTTACTTTGTTCTTTTTTCCCCGCTCCCCGCCCCCAGGCTACAATTAAGCATGGATGTATTTATATATAGATATTAATATATACATACACATATACATGTACATGTATATATACATAATACACATATACATGTGTATATATATACACACACATACATGTATATGTATATATACATACATACACATATACATGTGTGTGTATATATATGTATATATATGTGTATATATATATATATATATATATATATATACATATATACACACACACATACATACACATGTAAAATATACTTTTCCTAAGAGATTCTACTCCTAATCTTTGTTTGTATGCTTGTGTGTGTCTCTTATTTCCTATCCCTTCTGACCCCTCTACTTTACTTCCACCTGCTACCTTACTCTCCTATTACTGGACCTAACCCCACTCCAGCAATCCCTCCCTTATCCTCCCATTTCCCTACCCCTTCCATATCCTCTTTTTATGCTATTCCTCCTTTATCCTCTCCCTGCTCCCTACCCCCTTAGCATTTTATTTTTATAAATTTAGGCTTTTATACTCTTCTAGATGTGTATGTATTGTTCGCTCTTGAACCCATTCCTGGTGAAAGTAGATTTCCAGAACTAACAGCCCTCCTCCCCATCTAATTTTTCTCTATTGGTTCTTCCTGTCATGCCTCATTTGTATAAGATAATTACTCTTTTTAGCTGTTCCTGAACAGTTTTACTTTTTGAAGTCATATCATGCTCAGGTCTACCCCAATCTTTTTTATGGACTACTCAATTACTACGAACCATCTTAGACATACATTTTGCATTTTACATACGTAGAAAGTAAATAATCCATCCTTATTTAATCTCTTGTAATGAGTCTTTAGTATGTACCTTATATTTCTCTTGGCTCTTGTATGTCAAATCTTCTATTAAGTTCAGGCTGAAAGTATGACAACTTATTAAATGTCCATTTTTTTTTCCATTCAGGATTATGCTTAGCTTTGCTGGGTATGAGATTTTTTTTGTTGGATGCCCAGTTCTTTTGCTCTTTGATATGTAGTGCTCCAAAACCTGCAGTCTTTTAGTGTTGTCATTGCTGTGTCTTGTGTGATTCTAATTGTGGCACCACCATATGTAAGCTGTTTTTTTCTTGTTGCTCATGATATTTTATCCTTGAGCTGGGGGTTTTGGAATTTGACTATAATATTCCCGTTGGTTTTCCTCATAGTATCTCTTTCAGGTGGTGATTGGTGGATTTTTTCCCATTTCTACTTTCCACTCTTGTTCTAATGCTTCAGGACAATTTTCTTTAGTTATTTCTTGTATTATTGTATTAAGATTCTTTTTTTTTTGATCATAGCTTTCAGGTAGTCTGATTATTGTTATGTTTTCCCTTCTTAATCTGTTCTCCAGATCAGTTGTTTTTCTTATGAACTTTCACGTTTCACGTTCTCTTCTATTTTTTCATTCTTTATATTTTGTTTTATTATTTCTTGATCTCCTATAACTTCACTGGCTTCCCCTTGCCCAATTCTGATTTTTTTTTAATTTTTAGGCAATTGGGGTTAAGTGACTTGCCCAGGGTCACACAGTTAGTACGTGTCAAATGTTTGGTTGGAGGCCAGATTTGAACTCCCAATTCTGATTTTCAAGGAGTCATTTTCTTCCTTAAGATTCTGGATCTCCTTTTCTAATTGGTTGACTTTCTTTTCATAATCTTTTTTTTTTTTTTAGTTTTTCCTCAATCTCTCTCATTTGATTTTTAAGTCTTTTTTAAGTTCTTCTGTGAATTCTTTTTGGGCAGGTGACCATTTGACATTACTATTTGGGGTAGAAGAGGGTTTCTTTGCTTCAGTATCCTCCTTTGAAGGTGAACCCTGGTCTCCATTCCCATAGTAACTCTATGATTGGATTCTTCTTCCTTTTTCCTGTGCATTTTTTTTTTTTGGTAATAGCTTAATTTTCATAATCACCTCTCGTTCTGGGGTATGGGGGATGGTGGCTCTGGCCTCAGATCCTCCTTCTGTTCTCCTCTCTGACCTTAAACCCAAACCAAGACCCCCCAGTCTCTTCTAAGTGCCCACAGCCAGCGGCATCTCACCTGGTGTGTGCTGGTTCCTTCTTGCTTCTGGCCACATCTCCGCAGCACAGCTGGGTCTGGTATTCCTTGTCAGCAGAGATTTCCTTGATCTTCCCCGGCTCAGACACCCAACTCCCCTCATTCTCCCGGGCAGAAAAGTTCCTGTGTAGGGGGCTGAGGCAGCCTCCCAACACAGCTAACCCCAGGGCTTGCTGCTTGTTGTTTAAGTGGTCGTTAGCCTGGAGGTGTTTATTCTTCACAGGGACCAAACCTTGTCCTGGGATTTTTCTTCAGATCTTCTCTGATTGTCCAAGGAAGACCCTTGTTCTGCCTCTACTCTTATTTTTATTCATTCAGTATTCATCCTGAGGCGCTATTTCATCTCTTTTGTGGAGGAAAATCTTGAGAGCTTGGAATTTTCTGACCTACTCTGCCGTCTTCCCAGAATCTTCTCCCAGTCTACCATCTTCTTTTGCAAAGTTAGAATCTGTAAGGTCAGGAGACCTTAGAGATCAATTATTACCGAAGAAGATTCTGAAGACCAGTGAGTTGTTGAAAGACATAGGGTTACCTATTGTCAGTCCGGTGGTATTCTCTCCTGATCTTCTTTTCCCCATCCTATGCTCCACTCCTCAAATAATTGATTATCTGACCTGGGAGAAGTCCATCCCTTTCTGCCAGAGTCTATTTATTTCAGTTTATTCAGAAGGATTAAATGTAGTCAGTGAAGGGCTAGAGGGGAATAGATGTTATAAAGGTTCCATTCATACACTAAAGGAATCCCTGGTTCTGGGTTGATAGAACTCTTTACATAGTTTAAATAAAATAAAACTAGGCAAGGGAGCCTTTCCCTTGGTAGAAGAGTGGTTCTGTTTTATGCCCTACAACAGAGCCTGAGCCATTCTTTTCTTAATTTCTTTCTTTTTTTTTTTGGTGAGGCAGTTGGGGTTAAGTCACACAGTGTTACGTGTCTGAGGCTGGATTTGAACTCAGATCCTCCTGACTCCAGGGCCAGTGCTCTATCCACTGCGCAACTTAGCTGCCCCACAGCTAGAGCCATTGTTATGAGTATGAGTTTCAGTATTCTAGAGCTAAGGTGAGGAAATTGAGGCAGACAGAGGTTAAGCGAATTGTCCAGGATAACACAACTAGTGAGTGGCTGCCTGGATTTAAACTCAGATCTTCCTGACATTCAGTCTAGTGTTCTACCCAGTGTGCTAACCAGTTGTCTCTAAAGTCAAGAAAAATTAAGTGACTTGGCCAAGATCCCATAGTGGTGATATAGTTCTTGAACCTAGGGCATCTGTTACTAAATTCCATTCTCTTTCCATTGTTCTAATTCTGCCTTCTTGACATGTTAAGTTTGAGGGAATTATGAGACATCTATAGAATGAGAATGTTGGATTAGGTGACATTTGAGGTCCCTCCTACTTCTACATGTATCATTTTATAAGACAGAAAAAAATCTTGCAGTAAGGATTAACAGGCAGGATGACAATTAATGGCCTGTATTTGTAATTTCATAGTGTTTTCAGACATTTCTCATTTGATCCTCATGATACCCCATGACACAGGTGGTCCAAGCCTGATTTCCCCGATTTGACAGATGGGGAAACTGAGGCTTAGAATTTTATTATTTGCCCAAGTTCCTAAGTCTAGTAAGCTGTAGAACTGATCAACCAACTTGACTCTTTTGACTTTGAGTGTAGTGCACTGTATTTCTATGGAGAATATTCAGAAATTTTTTTTTTTACTTTGAGAAATCATAGTCCTCTATCTTTTCCTCAGGCTCTCTTCCACTTTAATAACAAAATCATCTTTTTTACATTTTTTGCATTGACTTTAGACAATAAACTTTAGAATTATGTTAGATAACAGTGGGGAGATTGGTACTACTACTATTCATGAGGCTTTGAATGGTACCATAAATAGATGTTCCAAATGGAAGCATTTTATCCTTAGACAGTCCATCAAACACAACAGAGCATATTTTATGGATTTGTTAATGCATGTCTCTGGAGTGCTTTGAACCTGGGCCTCCAATCGCCTGAGGTGGGTATTAAATGCTCCCATTAAAGTAAACCCCTGAGAGCCTTAGTGCTATTTTTATATATATATTTTTCTTCTTACATTTTATGTTTAAAAATGGTGTTCAGCATATGCTGTCACCAGGGACCATAGTTCATTGTGGAATGATAAGTACTGGGGGAAAATAAAGAGTGAGAAAGAGTAAAGGCCTTTTTTAAACCATTAAATCTTGTACTGTTTTTAAAGCAGCTGCCATTATTTACTGTTTTCCAAATATGCTTCACTGAGGAATCATAATGTAAAAATGTATTTTGTACTGAAAGATTTATCAAAATATAATGTGACATATGCTAAAGTCAGATTTCAGTGGTTCATGAATGCTGCAGTTATTTCTGAATCCTCATTTTACCATAAGAATTTTGGGAATTGAAAAATTAGTATTTCATAGGATCATGGGATTTAAATATGGATGGAAGATAGGAAATCATTACAATCTTCTCATTTT